GGAGGAGAGAGGAGGAGGATGAGAGGAGGAGGAGGAGGGAGGAGGAGGAGGAGGGAGGAGGAGGAGGAGGAGGAGGAGGGAGGAGGAGGAGGAGGAGGAGGAGGAGGAGTTTACGAAATCTGCTGCATGCAGCTGGTTTCGGCCCCGCCGCCGGGCCCATTCTTCGATACACGGGCGCCTCCTGGCGCCGGGAGGCGCCGGGAAAATCAGCTACGTGAGCTGATTCTCAACCCCCCCTTGCTATCCCCCCCTTTCGCCCGACCCGACAGGGGCGGACGAGGCGATGCCACAGACGGGAGCGCTTCGAAGACAGCATCGGAGCCTCTCCAGGCCGCCCTCCAGCGGCCGATTTTCACTGCAAGCAGCGCCTGCTCTCTGCTGCCGATGGCACATCGCGCGGAGCCGCCTTGGCCACGGCCCCGCGGACGTCGGGATAAAGAAAGTATGTGTTCGCGTGTGCGTGTGTGTGTGTGTGTGTGTGTGTGTGTGTGTGTGTGTGTGTGTGTCCGTGTCCGTGTCCGTGTCTGTGTCTGTGTCTGTGTCTGTGTCTGTGTCTGTGTCTGTGTCTGTGTTTGTGTCTGTGTCTGTGTCTGTGTCCGTGTCCGTGTCCGTGTCCGTGTCCGTGTCCGTGTCCGTGTCCGTGTCCGTGTCCGTGTCCGTGTCCGTGTGTTTGTGTGTTTGTGTGTTTGTGTGTTTGTGTGTTTGTGTGTTTGTGTGTCTGTGTGTCTGTGTGTCTGTGTGTCTGTGTGTCTGTGTGTTTGTGTGTCTGTGTGTTCGGTTTGTGTGTCTGTGTCTCTGTGTCTCTGTGTCTCTGTGTCTCTGTGTCTCTGTGTCTCTGTGTCTCTGTGTCTCTGTCTCGCTGTGTCGCTGTGTCTCTGTGTCTCTGTGTCTCTGTGTCTCTGTGTCTCTGTGTCTCTGTGTCTCTGTGTCTCTGTGTCTCTGTGTCGCTGTGTCGCTGTGTCTCTGTGTCTCTGTGTCTCTGTGTCTCTGTGTCTCTGTGTCTCTGTGTCTCTGTGTCTCTGTGTCTCTGTGTCTCTGTGTCTCTGTGTCTCTGTGTCTCTGTGTCTCTGTGTCTCTGTGTCTCTGTGTCTCTGTGTCTCTGTGTCTCTGTGTCTCTGTGTCTCTGTGTCTCTGTGTCTCTGTGTCTCTGTGTCTCTGTGTCTCTGTGTCTCTGTGTTCTCTGTGTCTCTGTGTCTCTGTGTCTCTGTGTCTCTGTGTCTCTGTGTCTCTGTCTCTGTGTCTCTGTGTCTCTGTGTCTCTGTGTCTCTGTGTCTCTGTGTGTCTCTGTGTGTCTCTGTGTGTCTCTGTGTGTCTCTGTGTGTCTGTGTGTCTCTGTGTGTCTCTGTGTGTCTCTGTGTGTCTCTCTGTGTCTCTGTGTGTGTCTCTGTGTGTCTCTCTGTGTCTCTGTGTGTCTCTGTGTGTCTCTGTGTGTCTCTGTGTGTCTCTGTGTGTCTCTGTGTGTCTCTGTGTGTGTGTCTCTGTGTGTCTGTGTGTCTGTGTCTGTCTGTGTGTGTGTGTGTTTGTCTGTGTGTGTGTGTCTGTGTGTGTGTCTGTGTGTGTGTCTGTGTGTGTGTCTGTGTGTGTGTCTGTGTGTGTGTCTGTGTGTGTGTCTGTGTGTGTGTCTGTGTGTGTGTGTGTCTGTGTGTGTGTCTGTGTGTGTGTCTGTGTGTGTGTCTGTGTGTGTGTCTGTGTGTGTGTGTCTGTGTGTGTGTTCGTGTGTTCGTGTGTTCGTGTGTTCGTGTGTTCGTGTGTTCGTGTGTTCGTGTGTTCGTGTGTTCGTGTGTTGTGTGTATGTCTCTGTATGTCGGTGCGTCTGTGCGTCTGTGCGTGTTCTCCGCCGGTGGTTGTCGTTCGTCTCCGCTTGCCGCCTCTGAGCGGGTTTCTTGAGCGTGCATGCGCCTGTCTGTCGTGCATCCCTGTTTCGCTGCCCGCGCAACCATTCGGCGGTTGTCTCCCATCGACAAGGCTCGTTTCCAATGCCTTTCAGCGCGTCTCGCTATTCGCCTCGGTGAGTTGGACCAGCCGGCCTTGGACAAAAAGAGCGTGTGAATGTGTGTGTGTGTGTGTGTCTGTGTTTGTCTCTGTGTGTGTCTGTGTGTGTCTGTGTGTCTGTGTGCCTGTGTGCCTGTGTGTCTGTGTGTCTGTGTGTCTGTTAGCGCGGGGCCTATAAAGGCTAGAAAAGAGCCCGCAAAGGGCCCTGGCCCCACTGAGGGGCCAAAGCCCCAAGGGGCCATCCCACGACAGGGGGCGGGCCACAAGGGATCCCGAGAGCCCAGACAAGCCGCATAAGGCTGCCACCAGGGCACATCGGCCCCGAGGCACCGCTCGGCCTGTCAGCTCAGACCCCCGTCGAGGGGCATCAGCGCGAAGCGCTGGAATATATACAAACGTGCAGACACGCGACGGGCGACGCCCCAAACATGCTTGCACAGCCCCAAGCGGCACGGCGAGGCAGGCGAGGCGCAGGAAGCTTCACGCCCACGCGCAGAGGCCCGCGGCCACCAGGGGTCCACGCCCGTCCGAGAGGGGCCGCCTAGGGCCGCCTCTCCCCGCGGGGCCGCACTGGGCCTCCACCGCGGCCGCACCACTAGGCGAGAACAGATCTACATACAGAATGCAACTGCCCGCCTCACGCACTCCCTACCAAGACTCGAAGAAATCCTGGGGCTCCTCCTCGATCGACTCCTCGAGGCAGGCCTCCCAAGCTTCATCCGAGGCCCTCAGTCGGGCTTCCAGGGCAGCCCGCCAAGCTTCGTCGCTGGCCCTCATGCGGGCAAGAACGTCAAATCCTGCTCCACGGGGCCGTCATCAAAGCCGTACTCGCTGCCATCCGAGACGAACTCCTCCTCCTCGAAGTCCGCTTCCCTCGAAAACGAAATCAAACTTCTGTAGCTTGCAGCCCAGCCACGGGCAGAGGCGGCGTCCGCTCCACTAGAGCACGGACCCGCATCCGAGCCCGAGCTCCGCGCTGCACCCGCGTCGGCCTCCGCATGCCCGCCCGCGGCTGGTGCCTCGAGCCAGGCGCGGGCGACCGCCTCCCGAGCACGCCACCAGGCCGCCCCGCGAGAGCCCGCGGGCTCGCGGCCTCCACGCAGGACCGCCGCAGGATGCCTGCTCAGGTACTGCTGCACGGCGGACTCGCGGCCTCCAGGCGCAGCGCTGGCCGAGCAGGCGGTGGCCACCTCGGACGCGCCTGCGCCAGCCCCAGTCGTGCTCACGGCCACGGGCACGGATGCAGAGTCGGACCCCAGCCCGCACTCGACAAACTGCGCGGCCAGCTCGACGGAACCAGGTCCCGAGACGGGAGGCAGCGGCACACGGCCAGCAGTACCTCCAGGGATCCCTTGTACTCCGAGGGCGGCACCTGCGTGTTCGAACAGGCTCCCGTCGCCGTCGCTATCAACGCGGCGCTCTCCTCCGACGACGCCTCCAGCCGCGCGGGCCCGCGGCGGCGGCGCTCCAGCGCTCGCAGCACCGCTTCCCAGCAGGCCCACGGCAGACCCGTCCGCTCCCGAGATACCGCGAGCAGACGCTGTCGGCGGCGGCGGCGGCCCAGCGCCCGCGGCACCGCCCCCAGCAGCGCTCTCCACGCTCGCATCATGCACCGAGTCGTGCTCGGGCAGCTCGCTGTGCACAACGCCGTCGGCAACCACACCCAGCCCTTCCAGCAGCGCGTCGACGTCAGCCGGCCAATCCCACCGCCCCACTGGTCGACGCGGCCAGAACGGGGCCGCCTCCCGGCGTAGCCTGGGCTGCACCGGCGGGAGCTCCACGGGCGGCTCGCCGATGCACAGCTCCACCTCGCAGACGACGGGGCCTCCAGCAGCCACGGCGCCGGCACCACCATCCAGGCGGCCTCCGCGCTGCGCGGCCCTCCACTCCGAAAGGGGAGCGCCTGCCTGCGGGCATTGCCTCGCGTGCAGCGAGACGTTGCGCACCAGGCGCTTGGCCCCGCTCTCGGGCTCGCCGCGGAGCCGCGTCAAGAGGGAGGGCCTGGCCAGCTCCTCGCGGCGGGCGGCCTCGACGGAGACGCCGTCGGACCCGCGCGCCGCTCCCCGCAGGCCCAGCGCCTCCCGCAGCCGCGCGCACTCAGCGCGGGCGGCCACCCGCGCGCGGCCGCGGGCCGCTCGGCGAGCGGCCGTCGAGCCGAGGCGCAAGGTCTCCAATGCGCGCCGTGAAGAAGGCCGCCACAACGAGGGGCAGCCCGCCGCCGCCATTTCTCGAGCCCGCCCGCGCGCGCCCGAGGCAGGCTTGAGCCAAAATGGCTACGGATGTGTCTGTGTGTCTGTGTGTCTGTGTGCCTGTGTGTCTGTGTGTGAGTGTGTGAGTGTGTGAGTGTGTGGGTGAGTGTGTGAGTGTGCGTGTGTGAGTATGAGTGTGTGTGTGTGTGAGTGAGTGTGTGTGTGTGTGTGTGTGTGTTTGTGCTTGTGTCCGTGTGACCGTTTTCCGAACATACATGTGTCTATGTGTCCGTGTGTCCGTGTGTGTGTGTGTGTGTGTGTGTGTCCGTGTGTCCGTGTGTCCGTGTGTCCGTGTGTGTGTGTGGAGTGTCAGTGCGTCTGTATGTTCGCTTGGTGTCCGTGGCCTTTGGCTCAAGGCCCCGCCGCGCGCGCGCCTTCGGCGGGCGCCGCGCGCCTGGCGGGGGCGCCAGCGGCGGCGATGGCGTCGCACGGCGGGTGGCCGGGGAGGGCCACCAGCAGGGAGCTCCGGGACCTCTACTCGGCGGGGCCGCACGCCCTCGGCCTGGAGGAGGACGCCGCGTTCCCGAGCGTGGTGCGGCTGCTGCAGGCGCGCCGCACCCTGGCGGCGGCGCCGCGCGGCGCCAGGCCGTGGGCCGCGCCGCCGCGCGAGCGGCCGCGGAGCGCCACCGCCCGCCGCGCTGCGGCGGCGCGGCGATCGCCCAGCCCCTCGTGGGCGAGCGGGCGCCCGCCGCCCCGGGAGGGCGCGCGCTCCCTGGGCGCCGCGGGCCCGCACCTCGGGCCCTGGGCGTCGCCGTCGCCGGCGCCTCCGCCGAGGCCTGCGCCAGCCGCGCGCGGCGGCAGCGACGCCGCGCGGGCCCTCCTGTGCCGTGCGCTGCTGGAGGCGTGCGCCGCAGGCGACGCGGAGCAAGTGGCGGGCCTGGCCACGTTGCCCGAGTGGCCAATGCTGCTGCAGTGCAGGCACCCGGCGACGGGGAGGTCGCCGCTCCACGTGGCCGCGCGCCACGGCCGCGCGGAGCTGTGCAGCCTGCTCCTCAGGTGGCGCGCCGACGCGCACGCCGAGGAGCTCAACGGGGCCACGCCGCTGGCGCTGGCTGCTCTGCACAGGCACGCGGGAACGGCGAAGCTGCTCGTCGCCTGGCGTGCGGCGCCGGGGGCGACCGACTTCAGGGGGCGCAACGCTCTCCACCTCGCCTGCTGCGTCGGGGACCTCGACGTCTTGTGCCTGCTACACGCCGCCGCGCCCGAGGCCGTGCATGCGGTTGACGATGAGGGCCACACTGCTCTGCACTACGCCGTTGGAAGGCCCGGTACAGTCCGCAACGAGCAGGTGGTGGAGAAGCTCATGGAGTGGCAGTGCGACCCGAGCCTCGAGGGCCAGGACGGCTTCTCGACCGTGCGGTTCGCCACTGAGACCATCCGCGATCCAGCCACGTCGATGATGCTCGCGGAGCACAGGGGCAGCCCCGCGGGGCAGACTGCGGCAGCGGCGGATCCCCTGCTGGCGCCCCTCAGCGGGGGCGCGGGCCCCGAGGACGCAGCTGCTGCGAGCACCACCGCGGCAGAGCTGCACCGCCTGCGCGAGGCTTGGGCGGACCAGCAGGAGGCCATCGCCCGTCTCGAGAGACAGCTTCGCGAGCGCGGGGACAGTGGCCAGGCATCGGCGCGGGACGGATCCGCCGCCGCCGATTTTTCATCGCAGCCGGAGCCAGCCGGCACCGCGGCTGTGGCCTCGGCACCAGCTGACCGCTCGAGTAGCACCGCGGCCGAAGCCATATCGGCCGCCGCACCTAGTGGCCCTTGCGGCGACATGGTTCGGGCAGCAGCGGGAGAGCTGGCAGACAGCGTCTTGGCCACCACAACGGCGGCAGCGAGTGTGCCGGTGGACGCCCTGGTGGGAACGGCTGCGCGTGCGCCTGAGGTACCGTTGGCACTGGCGAGCGTCACCACGCCAGACGCGGCCGCGTTGGAACCAGCGAGCATCACCCTGGCCCATGCAGCAGTGGCGGCGAAAGTGCCAGCGGGAGGCCCTCTGGACGAGGTGGCACCGCCAGCGCCGCTGGGCACCATCCCCACTCCCGAAGCGTCGGCGGCCACGGCGCCAGCGGGGAGCACTCTGGACGCAGCGGCAGCACCAGCGTCGGTGAGAATTGCCACGGCCCCTGTTGTGGAGGCGGCGCGCGCGAATGCGCTGGCGAGCATCGATTCGGAAAGCACCGTCGTGAAGGCGGTGAGTGCACCGACGAGCGGCACCCCGGACGCGCCCGCGTCGGCGCTGACGAGCACCGCCATTCCTGAAGTGAGTGCGCCAGCCAGCAGCACCGCAGACGCGGCGTCGCTGGCGCTTGCGAGCACCACCCCCTATCCTGCAGCGAAGGTGAGTGCGTCAAGTATCACGCCCGACGTGGCGGCGCTGGCGCCGGCGAGCATCACCTTGGCCCCCGCAGTAGAGGCGGCGAAAGCGCCAGTGGGAGAACCCCTGGACGCAGCGGCACCGCTGGATCCAGTGGGCACCACCCCCGCCACATCAGCAGCGGCGGCCACAGCGGCGAGCGCGCCAGCGGGCAGCGCCCTTGACGCAGCTGCAACGACAGCGCCGGCGAGCTCCACACCGGCCCCTGCGGTGGAGCTGGCGAGTGCGCTGGAGGGCACCACGCCAGACGCGACATTGCTTGCGCTTGTGAGCACACTCCCAGCTTCTGCGGTGGAGGAGGCGAGTGCGCCACGGTCCAGCCCTGATGCGGTGCTGGCGCAGGCGCCAGCGAGCACCACCCCGACCCCTGCGCCTGCGACGCCGGCAAGTGCACTGGTAGATGGAAACGCAGCGGCCGCAGCGGATGTGCCAGTGCCAGCGAGCACCACCGCAGCCCCTGCGGCGGCGGCGCCGCCAGTTGACCGCACCACAGGCTCGGTGGCGGCGGCGGCGACCGCGGCGGTAGCGGCGCGACGGTGGCGGGGCCGCGTTGCACCCGCCTCCCTGGTGGCGCTGAGCGTGAAGGAGCTAGGCGCCGAGCTCGACGACATCCACAGCAAGCATCCATACATAGTTGGTGCAGGTGGAAGGCCAGACAAAAATCATAAACACAACAACGTTCAGAGAACCGCGCGGATCTCTGGGGGCAGCGCTGGGCCTCCAGTCCCTGTACTTCCTGGCTGTGCCTCCAGCGCCGCCCCTGGCGCGATCCGCGCGCCGGGGAGTGGGTGAGCGGAGCGTGGTTCAGCGACGACCCAAGTAACGCGCGCTGTTGTCAAACAAAAACTGTTTACGCCGTTGACTGTGGCTTCCCTGGAGGACAGGAGCACCCGCTGCGGTGCTGGCTGGAGCGTGCGCGGGAAGCCGTCGGCAGGGGAGAGGCCGAGGCGGCGGGCGAGCTCCTGCAGAAGGTCCGCGACGGCATCAGCATAGAGGCCTCTCGCATCCAGTGTGCCTTCGACCACTTCGACACGGACGGCTCGGGCACCGTTGACGCCAGCGAGTTTGGGCACATGTGCGCCTGCCTGGGCCTGGACAACGACCTGAACGACGCCGACCTCGACGCCAATGGCGCGCGGGGGGAGGCCCAACTCGGGCCGGACGAGAGGGTAGGATAGGGAAAGGGGTGGCCACGAAACCCTTTTGCATGCAGCCGATTTCGGCCGCGCCGGCCGGCCCAGTCCTCGACACATGGGCGCCTACTGGCGCCAAGGCTCTAGGCCTCCCAGATGGGGTCGGAGTAGACGGGGTCGGAGGATCGCGCCGCATCGTGGATACATCGGCGATGCGGCCCGATGTGGAGCCCGATCTTCTCCACGCCGGCGCCGCCGATGCATCGCCGATGTGTTGGCGATGCGGTGCTATCCTCCGACCCCATCTATTCGGACCCCATCTGAGAGGCCTCTAGAGGCGCCAGGAAGAGCAGCCTACGTGAGCTGAGCCTCCGCCCCTACCCTTCGCTAACACTGCCCTTTCGCCCCCCCCCCGACGAGCGTGCCCGCACTTCTGCCGGCACCGTGGCCTCCGCGGAACCGCCTCCCTGGGGGACCCGTCGTCCTTCAGCCACGCGCAGAGGGGGGAGGGGGGAGGGGGGAGGGCTTCTTAGAAGCACCGCTGCTTCTTAGAAGGCGCGGGCCTTATCTGTAGATGTAAGACCGGCGCCTTCTAAGAAGCAGCCTGCTTCTAAGAAGCGCTCCCCCCTCCCCCCACCCCCTTGTGCGCGCCGCCAAGGCCTGGGGCTGCGCCTGGGCATTCCCCATCCGAACACGGCAGTCTCGCGTTGTGTCGAGGGTCGAGGATCGAGGATCGTGGGGAAGGGGACGGGGACCGAGAAGCCAGGGATCGAGGGCGAGAACTGCGGCTCTTCGAGGGGGGCCTGTGGGCGAACAGCATTGGCTCAACGTGTGCGTATCGGCCTCGTGGGCCCGGCCCCGGGACAGCGACCCCGCGGACACGGTGGGTTCGCGTCGTGCCGACCAGCGGCCATCCCGCCGCTGGCGTTCAACGCTGAACGCCACCGGTGGCCCAATTCGGTTGACGTTGAACGATCTGACGTTTCGGAAACGGCCGATCGTTCAAGGTTGAACGGTCCCTGCGGTGTCAGAAGCCAGCGTCAAACATCCGATGCCTGAACCTTTCTAGCACAGGGTCCCTTGAAGTCCTGACCCTTTTCCCTTGCGGACGTTGCGTAATGGAGGGGGGGGGCATGGATGGGGCGAGAAACGTGCACCTCTCGTGCTCTAAAGGGCCCTGGCCAAAACGGGCACGACAGGTGCAAGTTTCCCTTGCAATTTATCCCATTTAGCCACACCCAACCATGAGGGCCAGCTTTTCGTCCCGAGCCGCCCTGTTGACCAGTCCCGCGGCCCGGCGATGGCCGCTGGAGTCCAAACACTCCAAGAAACGCGCCCGTATCGTTTTGTTTCAGGGCGTCGGATCCGCGGCGGGGCTATCTCTGACGACGAGACTGTGTTTTGGGGTCCGGCGAGACGTCGGGTCACCGGGCCCGCCCGACCCCTCCTCACCCCCCCGAATAACCTGACCTTGTCCGTTGCGCAGGGCCAAAGGGGATACAGTCGGGGCCCTGAAGAAGGAACCCTTTTGGTTGGGGAGGGGCTCCGCGTTCCTTAAGTGTTTCGCAGCTTGCCTCAGGCTTTCCTTAGGTTTTCGATACGAAATCGAAGTTCAACTTCTGGAGAAAAGGGGCCTCGTTCCTTATTTAGGGTTCCTTAGGTCAACGCCCCGACTGTAACCTGACCTTGTCCGTTGCGCAGGGCCAAGGGGATACGCAGTATTGGTTCGCGCGGGCACACATGGGGCTGCCCGCAGCGAAAAGGTCGGGGTATCGGCCGGCACCTTCCAGGAGGGAGAGAAACACACGGACACAGTTCATCGTCGACTCCCCGGAAAATATGGGAAAATATTTATGGGAAGTGGGGGGGAAGACAGAAACCCAGAAAATATGAGAAAAGATTGGGAATCCTGTTATTTGTGTGTATTTATTTGTGTGTCTCAGGGCCCCTTCAACCCTCCCCCACCAGATAACCCAGGTAAGCGCCGAAGCATTAAAGACAGAACGATCTTCACCGCCTGCGGGATCGACCTCCGGGGACCTCGAAGACCAGACAAATCCGAGCACTTTCTCTGGGTGGAGGGCACAGGGTGAAATCTGAAATGCCGTCTGGACGGACTTCGAGGCCTGCATCTGCAGAGGGCGAATCACAGGACGGACGGGTTCTCGAGGTGCAGAAGCCCATATGGATTTCACCCTGAGTCCTCCACGCTAAGAGAATGCTCCGCGAATCCCCGCAGCGCACTTGATTCCCTGGGTCGGCGCTGCCCCTTCTGGGCGGCGCCTCGGGCGCCGCCCCTGGCCCGCTCCACGCGCAAGGGGGGTGGCCCAGCACCGATGCAAGACACTCGCTCGGACCTCCGCGAGTGTGTGCTCATGTCGGGACCTCCTTAGGAGGCGGAGGGGGAGGGGAAGGGGGAGGAGGAGGAGGAGGAGGAGGAGGAGGAGGAGGAGGAGGAGGGGGAGGAGGAGGAGAGGAGGAGAGGAGAGGAGGAGGAGGAGGAGGAGGAGGAGGGAGGAGGAGGAGGAGGAGGAGGAGGAGGAGGAGGAGGGAGGAGGAGGAGGAGGAGGAGGAGGAGGAGGAGGAGGAGGGGGAGGACGAGGAGGAGGAGAGGAGGGGAGGAGGGAGGGAGGAGGGGGAGGACGAGGAGGGGGGTGCCACAGGGGGGGGGGGAGCTCGGTCCGTGGGCGCATCGAGCCGCAGAAAAACTACGCAAAACGAGGTCTCCGGCCGCCGCCGGAACCCGAGAGGCGTCGACAATCGGGGCGCGCGGGGGACATCGTTTTCCGGAAATTCGATGCACCAGCGGATCGAGCTCACCCCCCCCCCATCAGGGTCCCCCCCTCTTTGGTGGACCCCGATCATATTGCTGTTCCTTCTCCGGTGTTGCTCATGAGCAGCACCGAAGTCGGACCAGCGGTATTTCTGGACTCCGGGAGGAGAAGGAGAAGGAGGAGACGCGGGTGAGACGCGGAAGGGAAGAAAACCAGAACCCCACGAAGCATGTGGGGAATTGCGCATATATCATAAACTTAAGCAAACACATAAGATTTAAATTAAGTATGTGGGGTTCCTCGGTAGCGTAATTTTGGACTCCCCGGTTGCCTCTTCCACGTCGGAGCGCTCCCCCCCCCTTTCCTCCCCCCGCGCGGCCGCCCTAGTCTCCTGTCCTTCCACCTGCACGCCGGACAAAATTCGCCTTTCGGTTGCCCCGATTCGCCTCCTGCTGGTGCGGACTGCCTGTGCCTCGCCGCCGACGAAAAAAAGTTAGGGTCCCGGCACTGCTGTCCCTGGCCCCCCTGGGGTGGGCCTGCGGCCTTTCGGGTTTGGCGGTCGTGGCCGCACGTGGGTCGCTGTCCCGGGGTCTCCTTCAACGACTCGGCCCTATAGGGGTTCTGGGCGGTCTGGGATCAGGGATGGGGGTAAGCTTCAAGTCCGGCGTGTCCCTCTACAGGAGGAGTACTCAAAAATAGTCAGAAAATAGTATGGGGGCAATTGTTCGATTAGCTTCGGATCATTTGTTTGGAGTTTTGTTGGTTGTTTTTCATATGTCTCCCAGAATCCGCCTGTAGGAGGACATGCCCGACCTAAGGTGAGCTGTTCTTGCATCAGTTCAAGACGTCGGACGTCCAGGACGTGGGACCTTGACATCCGACAGATGGTGTATTTCAATCCGTCCCCGGGGGCGCTTTTACTCCCAGGTCCTCTCCTGCACGGCCCCGCGGGGGCTCAAAGAGCGGCCCCCAGAGGCCGAGGTCGAGGAGTGACGCAAGTCTTCGAGTAGGGGGTCGGCTACAGAATTGATTTACCCCAAAATTTATTTTCGCCGAGCCCCCACACACAAATACAGGAAAGAGCGCGCCCGTCGCGACCGGAATAAGAAAAGGAGGGCCCCAGCTCCAAGCTACCCCCCACCCCCTTCCTTCCAAAAGAAGGGGAACTTCCGAAGCTACCCTCCTCCCCCCTCCCTTTCGTAAGACCTTCTAAGCTAGGGGAACTCTGGCTCAAGGGGGGGGGCTTCGAAGCTACCCCCCCCCCCTCCCCCCCTCTTTTGGAGCAGAAGGTTAGCCCGGGCTTACCTTTCAGGGGGCTTCGGAAGCTCCCCCCCCCGTCCTTCCTTTTTGGGTTTGGACACAGGGGGGGGCGGCTTCAAGCTACCCCCCCCCTGTGCAAGGGGGGGGGGGCTTCCGAAGCTACCTCCCCCCCTCCTCCCTTCCGGGGCTCGGGCAAAATGGCGGAATCCCTGACGACAGGTGCGCACCGCAGCGCTCGAGAGCGAAATGGAGAATAACGTCGACTCCTGTTTCGTTTTCTTGTTTTTTGTTTTCTCGGCCCCTGCTTGGGCACTGCTTGGTTTTATTGTGTTCTCGTTTTCTTGTTTTTCTTGTTTTCTCATGTTTTCGGCTCCTGGGTCGCGGTTTCGTTTTATCTGATCCTGGTTCGCGTTCTCGTTTTCTCGTTTTCTCGGCGCCTGGGTCGTCGTCCAGTTTTCTCGGACCCTGCTTCGTTTTCTCGTTTTCTCGGCCCCTGGGTCGTGGTTTTGTTTTCTCGGACGCTGGTTAGTATTGTCGTTTTCTCGTTGTCGCGGCCCCCAGGTGGTGGTCGTGTATTCTCTGACCCTGCTTCGTTTTCTCGTTTCTTCGTTTTCTCGGCTCCTGGATCGTGGTCTCGCTTTTTCGAACCAAGCGTTTTCTGGTGATCTCGGCCCCTGGGTCGTGGTTTCCTCGGACCCTGGTTCGTTTTCTCTTTTCCTCGTTTTCTCGGCCCCTGGGTCGTGGGTCGTTTTCGCGTTTTCTCATTGACTCGGCTCCTGGATCGTGGTCTCGTTTTCTCGGACCCTGGTTCGTTTTCTTGTTTTCTAGGCCCCTGGGTCGTGGTTTCGTTCTCTCTGTTCCGGCTCCTTGTTTCGTTTTCTTGTTTTCTCGGGCCTTGATTCCTTTCATCGTTTTCTCGTTTTCTCGGCCCCTGGGTCGTGGTCGTGTTTTCTCGGACCCTGGT